AGATGATAAATTCAATAATAAAAATTAGTACAGGCTTAAGAAGTAGTACAGAAGATGTAATTTATTCTGTCAGGATTGGCTTTACAAAGATGTTTTTATCTGAATTGATATATAAAGAATAAATAATTGATTACGATGGAACCAGATGGGGAGAGGAGAATGGGGAGTGACTGTTTAATAGTTACAGAGTTTCTGTTTGGGGTAGTTAATGTTTTGGAAATACATAGTGGTGATTGTGGTAAAACATTTTGAATGTAATTAATGCCACTGAATCATAAAAATGGCTTAAAAGACCAATTCTATGTTACCTATATTTTAACATAATAAAAAACTAACTTTTAAAAGAAAAATGATGTGATCAGGAGACATTTATATTGCCTATTGCTTATTTTCTGGTAGTTTCTCTGATTTATGATTTGAAAAGATTAAATATGCATTGTTAGTAATGAAAAAGTACCTAAAATTTAGGCTATTAAATACATGCACAATGTACTGCAGCTAAAATGTAATCCTGCATATATCTCTAAAATTATTCCTTCAGTTTGTTTTTCAAGTATTTTTTACCTCAGCACCTAGCAGTGTGCCTGGCAAATGCTGAGTACATGATAAATAAATAAATGTGAATTTGACTATTTAAAGGAATGGAAAGGCTACGTAACATACCTTAGATATAACATTTGCCTAATGACTTACTGGTAGAAGAGGCATGACTGGACTAGGCCAACTGTAAACAGAGTTTTAGGGATGGTAAGCCTTACCACTGGAGTAGAGTGAGTACCAAATCTTAACTTCTGCACTTTTTTGAGGGAGAGCAGGTAAAGTTTAAAGAACAGGAATTTACTTTGAAGTATGGCTGTTGAAAACATTGCAGATCCAGCAACTTCTTGATTTGGGATTGATCGTCCTATCATCAATTCTTGCTAAATCTTGTTTGTCTCTTCTTACTTTTTCTCCCCTTTTTGTCTTTTCTGGTCCTTCATAATAAACATTTATAATAGTGAAGTGTTTCATTTGATATGCTCAGATGATTAGAAGTTACACAGAGTATAACTATAGAATTTAGGATAAAAATAATTGAGTAAAAGAGATAACTTTTGCTGAGTTAGAAATCAGATGTTACCTCTATTATGAGATGGGTATCATTCTAATGTTCTGTTACTTGAAAACAAAGCAAAACATTGAAAGGATTAAATTTTACTGGAGAAAATCTTTAGGAGATAATTATTATTACCAACATTTAAGGAAATTAAGTAGATATTTAGAAAGTTAAACAATAAAAGTTCCTAGCCAATTTGTGACTTTCAAAAGATAGCTAAATTTAAAAGGTTTTTTTAAGCTGGTGAATGGATAAACTATTAAATTTGAATAATTGGAATAATTAACTATTACTCAACCATAAAAGGGTATAAATTACATGGAAGGATCTCAGAAGCATTTTCTAGGTGAAAGAAACCAGACTCAAAAGACTATGTGCTGTGTGATTCCATTTATTTTGATAACAAAAGCTAATGTGTGACCCTGGAGAGTAGGCACAATAGTTTTTGTCGATAAGAGGATTACAGAACTGAGGGTCCAGGGAACTGAGAAGATGTGAAGTTAAGTTGAGTGATGTAAAGAATTTCTGCCCTTTTTACAAAGGCTAGAAAGTAAATTTGTGAGCCGTGGGCTGACTGATTTGTTGACTGAGGAGGAGTGACTGGAAGTTGATGGGTGACAACAGTGATGGGGAAACGGTAGCCTAGTTGAATAGCAGAGTCTTTAAAGAACACGAAGGAAAGTGGGCCTAGTGGCACTAAAAAGTTGTCCCACTCTCCACAGGGATCAGTTCTAGCAGGTATAGTCTCAGTTTATCTGCTTCAAATAGTACACACAAGTAGATGGACATTTAAGTTTTTAATGAATGAACTGAAACGATCTGCTTGGTCAGAGAATGCTTACCTTTTACAGTCTGAACTTGCACTTTGATAAGTTCAGTTTAGGATTCTGATGTTTTGTGCATATCCTCTGCCATCCTACTGTGAGTTTAGGAGTGATTCAACTAGTACTATAGCATTTAACTTTATTACTGAGATTTACACTGAAACTTAGGCCTGTTGAGTCTGTAATAAAGATAAATACAATGCTAGCGTGTATGTTGCTTTTTTTGTTGTGCTCCTGGTAGATTTCCTTCTTCCTGAGCCTAAAGAAAGGAGGGAGGTTTCACTTTTCTTAGGACACTAACTGCCAGTTGGGTGGCAAATTAGGTGAACCCAACCCTCCCCCATTCCCACCTTTTTTTTCCTATCCCAGACCGGGGTCATTTACAGACCATTTTTCCGTTGTATGTAGGTTTCAGAGACACTCTGAACCTAAGCACACCTCAACCACAATGGGACATTAATAAAAAGAGCCAAAGACCTGAAGTATGGTGGGCCTATAATTAAATGTGCCCCTATTGACAGGAAATTTCTTTTAAAAGGACAGCATTTTCTTATGAAAGTCACAAATATGGAAACATAAGACATTCTTTTGAAGAGATATAGTTAGAGGGGAGTGGAGGTTGGCAACTTGGGAAGGTAGAGATTGGATTGAAAGTGGCAGTAAACAACCCATTCTAAAATGGCAAACAGAGCAAGCAGTAAGAACATGCGATAAAACATCTTTTCTGAGAGTCCACACAGCCTTGTGTATTCTTATTATGCCAGAGGTATCATAATGCTACATATTGGGGATGAATGACAAATGCCATGATAAAGGACCATTAACCTCACATTGACTATTCCCTAGCTAAAGAGCTAATTAACTTTCTCTGGAAAGTGTGATTCTACTTTGGAACATTTCTACATTGCTGCCTTCTAGTGTAATCTCAAGTAGTTGAACCAAACTGTTATTTGAGATACCTGTTTTTGAGAAGGTTGTTTTGGTAATGTTTAAAATGAAGAGTTAACGATTACCAATGATTTGTGAAATAAATATGACCCCTCCTAAAATAACTGAATATAAATACACAAAAGGGTTAGGAGTGTTTCTCCTTCACAGTCCATGATAAATTTTAGGAACAGTAGTATACTTCATTAGCAGAGCAAAGTCCTGCATGATGTTAATGAGGCCTTCAAGCCAGAGACCACTAATGTTGACGGTGGTGGAGGTTCAGGGTAGATTTTTCACAAGGAAAGGAAACGACTTGGGAGAAGTTTCTTTGATCCTTTGATAAACTAATTTTGTAAAAAGACAGGCAAATGATTACCTCTCTAGAGGTTGGGTTGCTGCTTGTTCTTTTTACTTTTATCAGAAACTTGCAAATTATTTGAAATGAAAATTTGTTAAAGTTCTAGGGCCTGTACTGAAATAAATTCCCATTGAGCTCATTTAAAATTCTGTGTGTATCTATGATCAGTACAATACCTAATCATAAAACTTTGGAACTGGAATGGACTTTAGGAATTACCTCGTCAAACTTTATTTTTAAAAGTCATGATACCTCAATCAGTGACCTAATAAGTACAAGAGCTGAGATTAGAATTATAAAATTAATATTCCTAATCTGTGTTTTCCCCCAGTGATGAATCCTCAAGAAAAAATTTAAATACGTTATATTTTTTAAAAGTATACGGCATTTTAGAAAAAGTTTAGTTTTTAAATATGCTGCTTTAGGGAAAACTGCTATGGAAATCAGTTCATTTGCCAAAGTTTCTAGATTACTATAATTTTACTGTACTAGTACATTAAAAAGGAATTTTGAAAAAAATTGTGTTTCACAAAAAAATTTAGTTCATTGAGTATCTTTGCACAAGAATGTTTGAATTACTATAATGGTGGTACCTTCCTTTAAAATAAGTATCACATTATTGCATGACAATTTAAGGTTATATTTCTCTTCCTATCATTGTGGAAGACATTTCAAAAATCTTTTCTCATGTATTAGTATCAAATTCAGTAATGTCTTATCTTCCAGGAGAAATGGATTGTTTTCTACTCAGTATATTAGTATGATTTCAGTTAGCTTCTTAATAGAATAGATGACTCTTGGACCATATTTTCAAGAATAAATGGGGGTTAGCTGAGCAAAGAAGAGGGCCACGGACAGAGTGTTTTGAGATGACAACAAGAGCAAAGGCAGGAAGGCAGGAGAATGTTGCTCATTCAGAAACTGCAAATAATTCACAAATGGCTAGATTTTAGGATTATATAACTAGTTCTGTGTAACTGGAAAATGCAAAATCTAGAATTAATAGGTAAAAGTTGCAGGTATAAATTTGCGCTTATTAGAAGGAATAATTTTCTAGCAGTTTATAGCTTTTCAAAATTGAATGGATACACTAGTACCAAGTTGTATACTGGTTGTATACTTCTACTATACTTTAACAGTACTATATCAGCATTTTATAACCTTCTTTCCTTTTGAATTCTTCAAAATAATATTTATTATTAATAAGTGCATAGAAATATAAAATTTGCCAGCTTTGTTTAGCTTATGTCTACGTTATGACTCTAATACTTTGAAATTGTACTGTTAATAAAATTTCAACTTAAACTGTTTGCACTAATTTGGTTATATTTGACTCCTGAATGAAGAACTAGTTTTAACTGTTTAGGGGAACCACAATTTTTTTCTTAGGTTTTATATAGACTCTATATTAACCAGTAAGTTCAAGGATAGTATATCTTTAAAAAGTAATTCAATTCATTTCAGTAGTTTTGAGCAAAAAAGCAGTCCAGTGGGTTGCCTCTCATTTGTGCCTGACCAGGGATCAAACCCGCAACCCAGGCATGTGCCCTGATCGAGAGTAGAACCAGCAACATTTTGCTTCGTGGGACAATGCCCAACCAACTGAGCCTCACCAGTCAGGGCACTTTAAAGGAACCTTTGGTTTTTAAATAATACTTTGTTGAATTTATTATATAGTCCAGCTTTCTCTGTGAGTAAATTTTAAACTGTTTAAAATAATAATTCTTTTGTTTTCATATTTGTAAAATAGAACTTCACTTTTAAGAGTTTTTTCTTGACTTATATTTTGCAGGATGGAGGTTTGCTTCTGAATAACCCTTCAGCATTAGCGATGCATGAGTGTAAATGTCTTTGGCCAGACGTCCCATTAGAGTGTATAGTGTCCCTAGGCACTGGACGTTATGAGAGTGATGTGAGAAACACCATGACATATACAAGCTTGAAAACCAAATTGTCTAATGTTATCAACAGTGCTACAGATACAGAAGGTTAGTTGTTTGCTACCTTAGAGCACTTTAACTTCTAGAATTCAGCTTTTGTTGAGTATGCTGGTGCTTACTGCAAAAGAGTTTGTGCTATGTCTGTGTTGTAGACTTAGGAAGCACATTGGAGCAAGTCTTCTATGGTTTTTATTTCTCCTCACTCATTTCTTCTACGTGACCCTAGAATAGAGACTTCTCCATGTGGGAGTTAGTGCTTCCTTTTTGTATGTTTACAGTTGGAGAAGGATCTAAAGCTGGGGGTTAGCACAAAGACTTGATTGGATACTTCTAATCCATTTAAGAAACTGGGAAAAGAAAAGGAGTCAGATTGGTTCAAATATACACACAACATTAGATTATTTAGTAATGTGGAGGCAAACTGGAGTTAGAAGAAGATCTTCTGTCCTTGATGCCCCTGTAATCTAGTCTTCATATAAAAGCTGGAGTGATTTTTTTTAAACATAAGTCGTGTCTTTTACCCTGCTCAAAACCCACTAGGCTTCCTATCACATCCAGAAGCAAATCCAGAAGTCTCATTCACTGAAATTTACCAGGCCCTGCCAAACCCAGCTTTTGACTACATCTCTTCCTCCCCTCCTACCCCCCAAAATATGTCCTTTTTATAAAGTGTGTCCAACTGCACTTTTAATTTTTGCTGTTCCTCAAACTTGCTGAGTAGTCTCCTGCCTCAGGACCACTGCATTTGCTGTATTCTCTCTCTATAAGACCTTTCCAAGATACGTGCTTGATTCATTCCCTTATTTTATTCAGACCTCTGCTCTGATTATCATATCCTTAGATAGACTTTTCTTGACCGCTTTCCAACTCTGTCACCATCTCGCTCTAACACCTTATCTTGTTTCTTTCTTTTGTTCAATCTCTTAGAACATTTATTTCATTTGGATATATGTTACATAGTTGTTTGCTTAATGCCTATTATCTCTCTGCCCTACAAGAGTGTAAGGCAGGAATTTATCCTGTTGAACATGTTGACTTCAGTGTCTGGCACTTAGTAGGCAGTCAGCATTTGTTGAATTACTAGTTTTGGCCTTGAGATCTAGATCTCCTTATTTTACTATTTTAATTTTAAATCCTATGTGAAATCAATTATTAATTTTTTAAAAAGAATTGTTACCACTTACCCCTTGCTTCTGAATCTCACTTTTTCATATTATCATGTTATTAGCTAAGTCATTAGCCTATGTAAGGATCTTAACCCACTAAGGACTTTGATCAATTTAAATGATAACCCAAGAAAGGCTGATGTGCATACTGGTTTTTCACTATGTGAAATTTTGTGTCAAATCAATAAAGTATTCTTATTGTAAGCAATCTACTGAGAAAAAGATAGCTTTAAATTATGCAGTTTCATAATACTTAAACATATACTTTGTGCAAACCCTTTGATGGGCTTTTCAAGAAATGTGAAATGCTGCCGTTCTGTACTCATTACACCCTAGTTAATGAAGAATTTATATGGCTTTGCAAAGGACCTAAAGTAGGCAAGACAATTTTGAAAAAGAACAAAGTTGGAGGACTGAAACTCTGATTTCAAGACTGTAAAACTACAGAAAGCACAGGACTATGTTATTTGCATAAAGATAGATATAGATCTGTGGTACGTAATAGAGAGTACAGAAGTTGATCTACACATGTAAGCTTCAAAGATTTCTGAGAAAAGCAAATTTTCAGCAAATTGTACTGGGACAACTGTCTTAAAAAAATTGAACTTTGACCCTTCGTTCCATATATAAAAATTAACTTGAATGGATCGTAAAACCTAAATATAACAACTACAACTGTAAACTTCCTAGAATACCCCAGAGAAAATCTTAATGACCTGCGCTAAGTAAAATTTTTTAGATGTATCACAAAAAGCCTGAAACAAAAGAGAAAATGAATTAGACTTTATCAAATTACAAATTCCCCTTTCAAAGACACTTCTAATAATGAACAGACAAGCTACAGGCTTGAAATAAAGTATTAGTAAAACTTGTATCTGATCCATTATCAGGAATCTATAATCGTACCCAAAATATATAGAGAATTCCTACATTATATCTATAAAGAATATACAAAGAAGAAAACAAGAAATTGAGTAAAAAACTGTGCAATATGTTTGCACGGACACTCTATAAAGAAGATACACAGAGGACTAATAAGTACATGAAAGACTTCTCAACATCATTAGTCATTAGGGAAATGAAAATTAAAGCCCCAAGGTACCACTGTACATCCTCTGGAATGGCTGAATTTAAGACTGACGGTACTAAGTTTTGGTAAAGATGTGAAGCAGTGGGAACTATTGTATTAATGGTTGGAATGCAAAATGGTACAGCTGTTTAGAAAACAGAGTTGCACTTCTTAAAAGGATAAACATACATTTACCATTTCCGTCCCCTGGTATTTACCGTAGAGGAATGGAATCATTTATCTCAAAAATACTTAGGTATAAATGTTTAAATGAGGATTATTTCTAATATCTAACAACTGAAGAGAAACAACTAGAGAGAACAAATTATGCTAAATTGTACACTGGAATACTAGTCAGCAATAAAAGGAAGAAACTATACATGCTACAACATAGATAAATTTTAAAAAGTATTTTGCTAAGTAAAAGCAGCTAGACATAGAAGGGCTATATCCTTATGGTTCTGTTTATGTGAAATTCTAGAAAAGACAAAAGTAAGGGGAGACCAGCTACAAACAGACATGAAGGAACTTTTTGGAATGATGGACATGTTCTATGTCATGATTGTTGTGGTGGTTACATAAGTATATATACCTTTGTCAAATCTTGTCAAAATATACACATAAAATTGGTGAATTTTATTGTATGTAAATTATGCCTCAACAAGGATGATCACAGAAATACACATTAAAAACAAAAATACGAGGTTGGAAAGACATTTCAGCAGTAGCTTACAGTGTGATCAAAAACAGAAGAGAGTACTGGACCAAGTATCCTAATTTAACAGAATTATATGAAGTATTCTGGGAGATGAATTTTATTGTATAGTTATATTTATATTATTATGGATTTCTTTGCTATTGTTAATTAGCTGGAATGATGAAATAAGCAAGGCTTTGTAGTTTTCCCAAAGATAATTTTTAAAAAGAACATTAGATCACTGCAGAATAACTGTTTTCTTTTCCACCCTATTCTCTCTTTAACAGAAGTCCATGTAATGCTTGATGGTCTGTTACCTCCTGACACCTATTTTAGATTCAATCCTGTAATGTGTGAAAACATACCTCTAGATGAAAGTCGAAATGAAAAGCTGGATCAGCTGCAGTTGGAAGGGTTGAAATATATAGAAAGAAATGAAGAAAAAATGAAAAAACTTGCAAAAATATTAAGTCAAGAAAAGACAACTTTGCAGAAAATTAATGATTGGATAAAACTAAAAACTGACATGTATGAAGGCCTTCCATTCTTTTCAAAATTGTGATGAGTGTGTGCATATATTTTCATAATGAAGGCCTGTTCAGAAGATCCACTGAATTCAGTGAGGAATCGCAGGGTTCAACATGAGTTAACTTTGAAATACTTGTAAATTCTTGGGAATCCTAAAAAAGATGGTGCTTGGACCAGCTTGCACAGCACAAGGAGTATACTTGGTTTCAGAATTTATAAGGAAATTAGGTTTTTATGATGTTAATAATTAACTATGCTTTAGGAATTTTATTATTGTGCTAGTTGGTTGTAGTAAATATTGGTGTTAATATTGTTTGATGTTTGAAAATTTATTAATATATGTGCCAAACAAACTGAAAAATATCATATACTTGATATTTTTTCTTTAGTCACCATAATCATGTTGAATTTATTTGATCATTGATTTTCTTCAATGTGGAAAAGCTAATTTCTTAAATTTACATCACATGTTTTTATGAGCTATATTCCGCAATCCAAATGTTGCCTTTTACTGTAAAATCATTTAAACATAGAGAAAATTGGAATTTTCTTTGTCAGAGGACTTTTACATTGGAAATATGAAAGGACCAGATACAGTTCTCTATTCAAACTTGTTTATTTCAACATTGTTTCATTTAAAATCATAGAAGAGATTCCAGTCAATCACTTTCTGCCCTTGAAATGTCAAGATAATTCTGTATGTTAACTTTTCTAGCTCTAGATTACTATTCACTGTTATGAAATTAATTACTTGAATTTACTAAGAAAATATCCCTATCATTAACAAAAATAAACTATTGAAATAATTTATTGTTAAGGCTAATGTCATTTTAAGATTATTTATTGTTCATAATGTAGCTCTCCATCTCTTTGTAGTATTTGAATATACCAGTTAACAGTAGTATGCTTTAAGAAATGTTAGGCTTGTTTTACCATATTAACTCCTTTAACTGTCTGGATTTCACAGAAATTAATAACACATACCAACTCAAATCATTGTTTATGCCTATCAAATTCATCTCTGTTGGATTATCTATCTGCCTTGTTAGTCATGTTTAGATTTGTGAAGAAAATGAAAAAAGGTAAGTGCCCTTTGCTTTGTACGTGTAAACTAAAGCTAACAACTTGTCTTGCCCAGATGATCATATTGCTTCTTTGCAACGCTGCTTCATATAGTATGATGTGGTTGAGTGACTGCTGAGGGGAGCTGAGCGTCTGAATGCTAAATCCCAGCTCTGATGTAGAGTCCCATTTGTGACCTGAAGGAGAGCCGACAACCTCTATGGGTTTCAGATACTTCATTTGTAAAATTAGGAAAGCTAGCTCTAAAATATTAAAATATTATTTACTTTATGGCAACCTAAAAACTATAAATTCTGTAAATGTACAAGCAAAAGAAAGATAGGAAGAGATATGAAAATAAATTTTCAGTCCTACATGGGTAAAATATTTTTTTTACAGAAGCAGAGAAGAATATTTTAGAAATAAAATGTAATAAATTCTCCAACTCATCAATTATATTTTAAAAATTTAGAGAATGAGAAATACAAATAGGTAGTTATAGAATAGCCGTGGGAATGTAAAGCACAGTATAGGAAATGGAGTTGCCAAAGAACTTAAACATATGACCCGTGGACATGAACAATGGTGGGGGGGATTGCCTGAGGGAGTAGGGGGTGCTGGGTGGAGAGGGGCAGAGGAGGAAAAATCAGGACAGCTGTGATAGCATAATCAATAAAATATTTAAAAATATAGAAAGAATAAAAATTGTTTTGTTGCGCAGGCCTTCCGGGGGTGTTTCAGAATGCTATCTCTGTAATAAATGGCATGCTGGTGATATTTCAGTTCCCTACTTGCTGCAGATATTATTCCTTGTTAAAAATAGTACCTCAGATAGGTTGTCCCTAGAGGCGTACAGGCTGGATGGGAGTTCCCCTAAGGGTTGGAGAGAACCTGGCCTTGGTTATAATTACACTGTGTGCTTCTTTCTCGCCCAAACTGCATTTTATTCAGGAGAAAGTAGATAACAAAGGAATCCTCTGAGTGGGGAAGGAAGTAATGAAAAGTCACTCTGCAGTCTGAGGGGATAGAGGAGGATCTTAGAACTTTGTTTTGGTAGTTGGATGGAGGGGGTCCTTTTTAGCTTCCCCTCCCCCAGCAGCTCCTGACAACCATCTCTCCTTTTCACTTATGAGAAGGCTGCTAATTACTGAAGTAGCTAGGACCCCTAGAGTTTAGATCTCAATTTTACCTAACTGTTATGCTCTAGAAAAAATTGTACTGTTTTGAATATTTCACAAGTATTGGTGCTAGTAATAGGATTAAAAACACTGACTCTTAATATCTGAATCACAGTTGTTAGACGCAGTATAAGCAAATATGAAGGTATCAATTTCTAAAAATGCAAAATAACTCTTGGACAACAAATATTTCATATTCATGTGCAACTAGAAAAACTTAAGAAAAATACAAATTATTGGAAATTAGAATATTTCTGAGTATTCTTTGTAATAAGCCAAATTTCATGCACAATAAAGAGATACTTAATGAATTTTGCATATATGCACATATCATAAAGTTAACTCTGCCCCTTGTTTTTGCTTAGCTGATTACTTCCCTCTTGAATAGCAATAAAATATACAGGGTGGGGCAAAATTAGGTTTATAGTTGTAAGTATGTGAAACACAGTTTATTCTTGTATTATTAGTTTTATTATTTTCCATACGAACAACTGTAAACCTACTTTTGCACTAAGTGTACTCTGACTATAGCTTCTTTCTTAAACTACATAGTATTGTGATAGGGTGGGTAAGGCCAAATCATTGGGGAGCAGGTGAGGGACTCCAGAAGCAATGCCAGAGCGAATACCTCCCCCACCTCAAGGGGGAGAGTTGCAGGAAGTGCCAGAGGCTGCTGGGATTGAAATCACAACTAAAACCATGTGAAAACCTTTCCACATCCCAAGGCAATGAGGCTGTGTGAACCAGCATGTGTTGCCCCAGCAGCTGAGCAGCTTGTGACACAGCCTGCAAAGAGCCTGCGTGAGCTGTGGGGTCCAGACACCGCACCTCAGGTTGCGACACTTGTGTGCCTGTGCATAGCTGAGAAACTTCTGTCCGCTTCTGCAGAAGGGCTGCTGGAAGAGGAGCAAAGACACTGTGACAGACATGGACATTAGCCCACATTGGTTGAAAAGCTGGATGTTCTATCACACATGGGTTTCTGGGCCTAGGCTTTAAAACAGAACAAAAGAGAGAGTGCAGAAGCACACTCTCTTGCCCTTTGCCTTCGGTTGGGGTGCAGAGTGTTTGCAGGATGTGGAGCTTCACTCAGAGCTCTTGTCCTGCTCGCGAGGTTTGGATCAAGCCCATGTGCAGGACACACGCTCCACCAGTGGTAGGCTCTGGTGAGATGCTGCAATCCTGCACCACACGGCAAGGGTCTTGGACTGCTTCCATTCCCTTACCTTGAGAGGAGCACACAAATGCGTGGCTGGGAAGGTTCCTTTGTCCCAGGGATACAAGCAGCTTTGGGCACCTGGGCCCCACAGAGGGAGCCCCTATGACCCACTGGAGTGACCTGGCAGGGTGCACTCCAGACCCTGGGGGAGAGAGGAAGCTGAGTGAGGTGGTGATTACTCTGAAATCCACAAGTGTGCACCCCAGAGAGAGCCTAAAAGCTGGAGAGACAAGAGACCTTTTTGTGTAGCTGCCTTGGGTTCCAAAAGGACAGATAAGTATGATGGGGAGCTTCTGGGCATGGGTTTGGATTTCTCTCTTCCTGGGAACAAGGGAATTTCTATGTTTTGCGGAAGAGCTTGGTTTGGAGCAGAGATGTTCCCAGCCCCACCAAATTGGCTGCCCTGTGAATAAAGACCTTTTTCCTTCTCCACCAAGCCTCGCATTATGCTTGCACACAGCAGCAGGCAGCCGGCTCCAGGCTGCTCAGCTACAGCATGGCACCTAAGTATGTTCCCATGCTGCATGTTTTCTTAGGTCTTAACATTCTCTAACCAGAGGTACATCCAGTTGTGTGGTGTACAAATTTTCAGCCATTGTCATTTGCATTTGTATTCGAAACTGGTTATCTGAAGAACTGTGTCATTTATCTGGGATAATCCTCATTTTATAATGAAGCCAGTGCTTTTCTTTGTTCAAAAGCAGATGGTATTTCTTTCGGGAAAGAACAACTAAAGAACAATCTTTTGAGAGATGAGAACTCACTACCACATAGGTTATGGATTCTCCATTGGACTGTTTTTTAGTAGGATTAAGTTTTGTATGACCGAAATTTTAAATATAGGTAAGTGGCCTAGTTAGGTTCCTTCCAACCCTATAATTCTGTGATAATTCACAGTGTAGCATAATTCATATGCTACAATGATCAGATAAAAGAAATGTTTGTTGGTCAAAGAAGAAATCAGGATATTGTTTAATTGTATCATTTATTCACTAAAATTTAACTGATATTTTTAAAAGTATGCTTTTTTGATAGACTTACATATTTAAATCAATTAGTTTTCATTCATGCCAGTGGATCTCATTTTGTTAATCATTTTGATATTTTTAAAATATGGCAATGTGTGCCTTGAACATGGCAATATTTTGAAAAATCTGATTGAGAAAAAATTTACTCAATAGTTTTATTACAACTAACTGAGTAATGTTGATTAAATTGTAGTTCTATTTTTACATTAAGAGAAATGTCATAGCTATGGAAATAGAAAAACACAACTGTGTTATAGTATTGTCACATCTATAAAGGAAGCCTGAATATTTTTATGATGGTTAATAGCCAGTACCTGGCACCTACATGCCAAGCACTATATTAAAAGCTCTATATCTGTGATCTCATTAGGTCTTATTATACATCTGTGAAGGAGGTAGTAGTAGTATTCCTATTTCTAACTAAGGGCACCAAGGTTATAGAAAGTTAAATAATAGTTTTCAGGATTTACCCACAATGATGCATAATGCTGCTGTGAAAATCATGTACACACCTTTGTAAGGATGTATGATTTCATTCCTCTGGAAGTGGAATTGCTACAGTCATGTGGTAAGTGCACATTTAACCTTCCAAGAAACAGCCAGTTTTTCTAAGTGTCTTATTATTTTATGTCCCTATCAGCAGTCTATATATAAGAGTGCCAGTTTCACCACATCTTCAACAGCCCTGGATATTGTTTGCCTTTTTAATCATAGCCATCTGTAGGGGTGTATAGTGGTATATCATTATGGTTTTAATTCGCAGTCTCCTAATGATTATAGATGTTGAGTATCTTTTCAGGTGCTTATTAGCTATTTTTGTGTTTTATTTGGTAAAATGTCCATTCAAATATTTGTCCACTTTTAAATTGTTTGTTTTAAGTTTTAAGAGTCCTTTGTATATTCTGGAAACAAGTGTTTTGCCACATACAGCATTTGCAACTATGTTCTCCTAGACTGTGGCTTGTCTTTTTATTTTGTTTTTAATATTGGTGGTCAGTTTATCAATTTGTTCTTTGGAGTTAATTTTGTATCTGTTGTGAATAACAGTTGAATTTATTGATTCATTATTTAGTTATTCATTTATAGGGATATCCTGTTGTTTCTGCATCATTTGTTTAAAAAACATACCCTCTCGCCACTGAAGTGTTTTTTAACTTCTATCAAAAATATGTTTTCATTACCTTTGGGAGTCTCTTTTAGGACTCTCTTCTGTTTCATTGATCTATATGTTAATCCTATGCCATTACCACAGTGTTCGGATTACTACAGCCATATGAGTTTTGAAATCAGACAATATAATTATTTTGT